AAGTAGCAGCTGGTGGACATGTCTTTCCCCGCCACCGGACTACCCCAGACCGGACCACAACACTCATGACTACGACCCAGGGGATGGAACAGAGACCACCAGCTCACCGGAATAAACAGATAAGTCCCATGCTACACCCACACATATAAGGGTGACATGCCTAGGAACCAACACGAGAACCCTAGATACCCCCCCCTCCCGGTTTGGGAATAACACTGGGGTAAGAGGTGAACTATAGCATCAATTTGGGCGGGGGGCCGAGGGGAGGTGACAGCAATGGAGGCATTCCACTGAATAGAACCGGCCAGATACTGTTTGAGACACAAAAACTGGGACGCTTAAAAGACACTCTGCAGACCCAGGGCCTGAGGAGCTGCAGGTCCCCAAGAAGGGGGAACCAACACATCCCCACACTGGCAGATAATATGCATGTTGGGTTTGGGGGGCTGGGGTTGGGGGGGACATGTATAGTTATGCGGGGGAGGGTGAGGGGACCACAACGGGGGGGATAATGGGGGGGAAGAGGGAGGAGGGGGAGGAAAGAAGGAAAAAAAAAAAAAGCAAATATGATTAACTGGCCAGGGGGACCTAAATATTATGAGAGAGGGGAAATAAGAGGAAGACAGGTGGAGCAGGGCAGATCTACCAGATACGAGTAAGGTAAAGTGTGTCTAAAGATGTATACCATTAGGCGCAGAGAGTCCCAGATGACATAAGGTGGGAGCGAGAGCTAAACAGGGAATGTAATGTAACGTGATATATGTGATATATGTTGATATATGTTGATATTGCTTTGAACCACTTTGATACCCTTAAGCAAGATCCAACCAACTCGCCATCCACACATGCAATAAGAAAATTGACTCAGAGCAGGGACCACCCGCCATACCTGGCGCCAAGACCACATGAAAGGAGAGTAACTCACACACATAACTAACACATGCCCACAGACACAGGTACAGCCCACTGAGAAAGGCACATGCCCCCCTGCCCCTCCCAACACAAGTGCATAACACTCCCTGCAAAGCAAACTACCACGAAAAGTCCCCACATGGGACTCGCCCAGGGACAGAGGCCACGCGCAGTTGGATGAGACCTCAGACATATGCCCGTAGCCACTGACAAGAACCACCACAACGGGGGACGTACTTTAATCATAGCCTACGCCCGACCATAACGTGACCTTACGGACCATAATCTGATTAGGACTAGCAAAAAACATACAGCACAGACATAAGTGGGAAACGGAAATCTCATGAAGACTGCCACATACAACCTCGAACACCTCAGAACCTATACACCTGCGTATCTGCAGGTAAATACACAGGCCAACAACAGGCCTACTCCCCCAAACTAGACCTGTGTATACTTAGACTAGTGGGGGCGTCGACTCCGTGGCTGTCCTAGTACTTTCTAGGGAACGGTGCGAACTTGATACTCCACCCAGTTACACAGGACCCCCTCACATTGAGGGATTAACTTCCAAGGGGACCACATTGGTGGGAACAGACCCCCAGAGTCCTCCCGAGCTGAGCCAAAACCAGACAAAACTTAAACCGACCACATAGGAGTCCCAAGACATCCCTGCCACTAAAGGGGCACTACACCTACTGAGCGACCCCGAACACCTTTCTTCCCTTCCTCCCGCACCCCTCTTACCCCAGGATCCGGGGCGCGCGGGGAAAACTGGGGGCTGGACCCGAGGCACCACACTAACACACAGTGACCTCCAGCACAACCTCGCTCACATCATGACATACATTCCCACACCCTTTCGCATCATGACTCAGAACTGCAGAGGCCTAAATACGGCCGAAAAACGCTCCTACGAGAACTCGCGCGAGAGCAGCTCTCTATTGCTATGCTGCAAGAAACACACTTTAAATCTACAGACACACACAGACTGAAAAGCAGACACTTCCCAGTCAACTATCATAGCACACATCCAACAATGTGTAATGTAGGGGTAGCAATCCTCCTAAATGCCAACCTACAATTCAATCTGTCCGACCAGCTATCCGACACGAACGGCAGATTTCTCTTCATTAAGGGCACAATCTTACAGAAAACATTAGTATTATATAAGTATTTATATAGAAGATAATAGGATAAAAAGTAAAACTTTTTTTAAACCGTAGATGTTAATAGTTTTATTAATTTAAAGAGTTGCCATTTTAAACCCTGGTTGATTAATATACCAAAGGGACAGTTTTTAAGAATAAAGCGCAATTGTACAGAGTCTGTACAATATGAAGAACAAACAAGAGTGTTAATCAATCAATTAGTAGATAAAGGGTATAATCAAGATTCCTTAATTAATATAAACAATGAAGTAGGACAGGAATTAAGAGAAAATATTTTAAAATATAAAATAAAGGAACAAAAAGAAAATAATACGACTGTACGGATTATTTTTAATTATAGTTCTCACAGTAATCAGCTGCAAAAGATTATAAAGAAGAATTGGCACATTTTAGAACAGGATCAAGATATTCATCCATATCTGGGAATTCAACCTAAAGTGATTTTTAGAGGTGCAAAAAATATTAAGTTTTAACTTCAAGTTTTATAGAGAAAGAAAGAAATCCACAAATTTCATCTATGTTTAAGAAAGAAAAAGGCTTCTATTATTGTGGAACATGTAGAGGTTGTACCCTGAGAAAAAATAAGAATAAAAATGTTACTAATTTTACTTCCTTTCAGAATAAGAAAATACATGAGATAAAATCTTTTGTAACATGTAATTCGAAAAATGTGATCTATATGATAGTTTGTCCCTGTGGTTTACAGTATATTGGGAAAACGTCTAGATTATTGAAGATAAGAATTAGGGAACATATTTATAATATAAATAGAAAATTTACTCTACATAACGTATCTAAACATTTTTTGGAAGTTCATGGAGGAAATATTAGTGGGTTTGAATTTTTAGGAATAGAGGCTGTGAAGACTCATTGGAGAGGGGGCGATATAGAGAGCCTCCTCAGTAAAAGTGAGATGAAGTGGATTTTTAATATGGAATCATTGTCCCCATATGGTTTGAATATTGACTTTGAGATTAATTCATGTATATAGTTTTATGTAATTTATCAGTACTTTTGACCTGTTAAGAATTTTATTGGATTTTCACTATTTTATTTTATTGTTTTTTATTTTTATTTATTTATTTATTTTAATTAATTTATTTTTTATATTATTATTATATATTTTTTATATTATTATTATTTTTTATATTTTTTATATCCATTTATTTGCCTCTAATGTTACTTCTAACGTTTATTGAAAGATTTTAAATATGTTTTTTATGTGTATTTCTAGATAATGTTGTTCCCTCTCTTTTTAGTAGGTTGGGAGTGCCTCCTTTTTGGATTTGTTTTTATTGGGTTAATCTTGAGTGTTTTTTAAATGATGGTATTTCCTTTTTTGGTAAATATATAGAGCATATTGTAAAAATGTGCAAGAGACTGGCATTGTGTGTCAAAACGGACTTTCCAAAATGGCGCCGGTAACACTTCCGGTTTCGGCACCCAGAAAACGTCATGACGCAGGGAGGCGTCTTGACGACGAATGATGACGTAAGTAAAAACGTCATGACGCAATGAAGCCGGCAGACGCAGAGTGATGACTTAAGCGGAAGTTAGAGAGAACGCCAAAAAAGGGCGCTGAATTTTGAAAATATAAGGAAGAAGATTGGAGATGAAGAAACCAGACCACTTGAGAAAGGCTGTTAGTGCAGAAACGCGTCGTGGTATATTACAAGGACATTTTACCTGTATTCATTACAAGTTATTTTATATGTAGTTTTTTAATAATAAAATTAGATTGTATTGGATCCTGCCTTTTGGAGTAATTTTAAAGAGTACTTCCAGTGCGGATTCTTTGGGATCGAAACAGGACGTCCAGAGTTGAAAAGTTCTCATCTCCATACAAGCCCTAAGTCTGAGTCAGCTTTTTAAGTGACTCAGAAATATGTGAGTTTAACCAGTCACATGAAAAACATTTGCACATATTCTAAACAGTATTACCCTATGTTTCTGTGTTTTATGTTTTATTATTTTAGATATTCCAACTAAACAAGTTCTGGTAAAATATTGTATTTGCATGTATTGAGTGCTCTCACCATATTTTTATCTTTTACAGAAAACATACACATTTGCCACAGTATATGCGCCAAACGCAAAGCAGGCAACGTTCCTCCGCAAGACAATCTTACAACTAGCCACCTTCACAGAAGGGACGCTTATTATGGGAGGGGACTTCAATGGTCCCCTGGACCCACTGTCAGATTCCTCGACAGGACACAGCAGCATACCACAAACGGCGATTCGGACTATATGGAAATCTCTCAGAGACCTGAGATTAGTGGACGCATGGAGGGCCCTGCATGCAACAGATCGAGACTAGACACACTATTCCTCTATCCACAGGCGATACTCCCGCATCGACTACCTCCTCATTCAAAAAAAGGGCCTGCAAAGACTCCAGAAGGCGGAGATACACACTACTACGTGGTCAGACCACAGCGCTGTGACCATGCTCCTGGACTCCCCCATGTTTAGACCCGCACGGACAGCCTGGAGAATGAACGAGTCACTCTTATCCGACTTAGAGGTGCAGACGCAATTAACGGAGCACCTCAACAACTATTTTAACGAGAACAACACAGAGGACATATCGAAGATGACGCTATGGGAAGCCCATAAGACTGTGCTCAGAGGGCACTTTATAAGAATAGCATCTCGAAAAAAGAAAGAAGCACAACAATGCCTAAAAGAACTTACCAACCGCATAGCGCAACTAGAAACTCTCCACAAACGAACACAACTGGAGACACAATACCGCGCTCTCCTAGAAGCCAGAAACCAGCTGACTACGGAGAACAAGGTCCACACGAGACACACAAAACGGAGTTAGGAGAACATTTCAATACGGAACACAGTCTGAGAAACCACAAACAAAAGGAACACAACACACACCATTAACAATTAATAGGCAGCCTCAAAGAAATAGGCGCACATTAAACAGCATTCGAAAAGGGATTAACTTAACAAAAACAATAGGTGAGTTGGCAGTAGAAGATCATAGTTGCTGGCACCAACAACTCACAAACACACACATAACTAGACAGCTAATTGACAATCATCGTCCCCACCCAACCTGTACCGAAACATTAATAAACAACCAGGTGACACACCAATACAGAACATACGCCAGAGTAACCGCAAACAGATGACCAAAGGAGTGCGGACAGGGATTATACAAAACCTAGTTAGTCATCTCACAAGAAAGCACACGAAAAAAGTCGATTTAGCAAAGAGGCAAAACTCGGAAACTAACAGAAGCAACAATCTATGGCACAAACCAACCAGGTTGGACACCACAGATAACCTCAATACCTCTCTTCCGACCCACCAAGCTAATTACAAATGCATGAGTATCCAACGTATAAGTTTATGGCAAAAAGTTAATGTACACAAATGTGATTCTATATGTATGTTCAAAATGCAAACCAAGCTAATGTAAACGCAACTTTTACTCAACCCTCACTACCCTTTTTCTTCTGTACCCCAACTACAATAAAAATTGTCAAATAAAAAAAAAAAAAATTCTTATTCCTGGGCTGCCATACGGTCTCAAAAGGCAACATAACCAATCTGGCAAATTTCAATGTGAAAAAAATGAAATGCAAGCCTTATATTTGACTCTCTAACTTTCCAAAACACCATAAAACCTGTACATGGGGGTACTGTTTTACTCAGGAGACTTTGCTGAACACAAATATTAGTGTTTCAAAATGGTAACTTGTATTACAACAATATCGTCAGTAAAAGTGCCGTTCATGTGTGAAAAATGCAAAAAAGGTTACTTTTACTAAAAATATTATTGCTGTAATACAATTTACCATTTTAAAACACTAATACTTGTGTTCAGCGAAGTCTCCCAATTACAACGGTACCCCCCATGTACAGGTTTTATGGTGTCTTGGAAAGTTACAGGGTTAAATATAGTGCTTGCAATTCAAATTCTCTGCACGTTTTGTCTGGGTTGTCAGGCATGTCAATCAAATTTTAACTAATTAAATCACATAATTATGTTAAAATATTACTTAAATATACATGTAGAATTGTAATATATATACATATACACAATGGATGGCTTGTACCTACCCTATATCAAAACAAATATTTGGTACTATTTGGTATGGGGGCCTCTGCTCCTACGTTCAGCCATATCAAAAGTTGGTATATATGTACACATGGGAAAGCTATTTATTGTATAGTCTGTGCTATGTTATTCAATGTTTATAAACCAAAATGCTTAATAAAGAATATATTAAAAAACAAACAAACAAACAGCAAAAGAGTTCAAAACGAAATTTCAAATTTAGGCATAATTAGCTGATTTGGAGAAATGTTCAATGCAGGACCGGATTTGGCTCTTAATTACTGGGCTTTGCTGGCTGCGGCTGACAGCTGTGACTGTCAGACTGGTGTGGCTGGCTGGCCTCTTACTACCCTCAGCCCCTTTGTGTGCCTATTTCTCCCCCAGCCCCTCTGTGAGTCTTTTTTTTTCCACCCGACCCCATGTGTGTCACTTTGTGCCTCTCAGTGTGTCTCTTAGCACTCCTCCAAGTGTCTCATTCCCTCCCCAGCCCTGCCATGTGTCTCTTTACCCCTTGCCCATCCATGTGTCTCACTCACTCCCCCAGCATCTCCATGTGTCTCATTCACCCCCCAGCCCTTCCATGTGTCTCATTCAACGCTCCATGTGGCCCATTCATCCCCAGCCCCTCCATGTATCTCATTAACCCAGTGAGCCTTTCTATCTGCCCCATTCATCCTGCTCAGTCTCTTATTCCCCCTCTCCAGCCTTTCCATGTGTCCCATTCCCCCACCAGTCTCTCTATGTGTCTTCTCCCCCTAGCCAATCCATGTGTTCCATTCCCCTTTCTTCAGCCCCTCCAAGTGTCCCATTCCCCCTCCAAAGCCTCTCAATGTGTCCCATTCCCGCCTCCTCAGCCTCTCCATGTGTCCCACCTTGCACCATCCCAGCCCTTTCCATTTATCCCATTCCCTCCTCCCCAGCCTCTCCATGTGTCCTATTCCCCCTGCACCCCAACCTCTCCATGTGTCCCAGTTCCCCCCCCCCAGCCTCTCTATGTTTAGCTTTTCCCAGCCTCTCCATGGGTCCCATCTCCCTCCATCCTCTTCATGTGTCCCATTCCCCTCCCCCAGCCTTTCCATGTGTCCCAGTTCCACCCCATCCTCTCTATGTTTCCCTCCCCCCCAGCCTCTCCATGTGTCCCTTCTCCCCCAGCCCCTCCATGTTTCCCATTTCCCTCCTCCCCAGTCCCTCCTGTACCTCCTGGTTGAGCTGCGGTAGAGGAGCTCCTGTTCACTCTCCCTGGTTTGACAAGAAGCAGTTCTGTGCTCTCTGAGAGAACTTCCTGTCAGACTGGGTAGAGGAACAGAAGCTCCTCTTTCGCTGTCTGTCTGCTCGGCCACATTAAGTGAGGCATGGGGTTAAAGAAGAGGGGAACAAATGAGCGATGGGGAAGAAAAGAGAGGAACAAGTAAGGCAAGGGGGGAACGAGAGGAAACAATTGGATTAAGGGAGGGATTTGGGGAGAGGGGCATAATTGGAAAAAGGTGGTTTGGAACACATGTGAGAGGGAGATAAATAAATAGAGTGAAATGGAAAGAGATAATAGGGGCAGATGCGAATTAGAAACACCGTGCACAAATGCACCCTATTCATACACACTAAATACCCACACATGCACAGTAAAACTTCACACAAATATGCTCCTGCATGCACACACTGAGATTCTATAAAACCACACCACTAAGTTCCCATACTAGCACTCTACACAAATACACCCGTCAGTCACATGCACTCACTAACACTCCATACAAATATGCTCTTACATACACATTGCCATTCAGCCTCCCAACCACATTATTCCCTATCCATCCAGTCAGATAGCCCCATTTTACCTCCTAGTCAAACCCACTCACCCTGTCACATTCATCCACTTAACCACATAACATGTCACCTACCCGAATCCACCTTGAACTAATTGCCATGCATACATCCACCTAGTCAAATTCACCATACCATCATAACCCAAACTAGCCTTATTCATCTATCCACCATTACACCAGGCTTCATATGTGACAGATCCGAGAGCAACCCTCAATTTCCCTGGAACTCTAAATCGGATTGTGGAGCCACTAAACTCAACTCACTAAATCCCAGGACAATCAATCAGGGCGTAGGCATCATAGGGTTAACAGAGGGGGAGGCGAGGCATCAAAAGACACCAAAGACAGGGGCGTGGCCACGCAACGATCCAAGATGGACGCGTAAGCCACGAGCTCCTGCATACGGGACCCATATCCAGCGAACAGCACAGCACACAGAGCCGCATAAACGACCCTACCTGGGTGCAGGGCAAGCATGGCACAACGCTCGACGAAAAAACCGAGGCAGAGAGCCGCGGATCTGCAAATCACAGCCCGCACCTCGCCGCAAATGAAATTCCAAGATGGCGCCGACGGCCCGTCTTCACCGGCATCCTGCTCCGATAAGAGCGACGGTACATCCGTCTCCCTACTAACCTCTGCACCAGCCACAGACTCCTCAATCCAGAGGATGCTAGCAGACCTCAAAAGCTCCATGCAGGTAGAATTTACAAAATTGGCGAGGGACATTAAAGCAGATATTCAGGCCATAGGTGAGCGTACCGCCCATTTAGAGGACAAAACAGACGAGATCATCACAGCACATAACACATTAGCAGATGCTCACGCAGACATGGCTGCCAGACTTGACCTACTCACTGACAAAGTGGCAGACCATGAAGACAGAGACAGGAGGAGCAATATCCGCCTGAGAGGCATTCCGGAAGATGTGGCCCCACAAGACCTGGCATCCTATGCTGCAGACCTCTTCCAAGCAATATCCCCAGATCTATCTAAATCAGATCTCCTCCTAGATAGGATCCACCGCCTTCCACGACCAAGAAATCTGCCGTCATCTCTCCCACGTGACACTATAGCCAAGTTTCACTATTTCTCATCAAAAGACAAGATTATGAGAGCCTCAAGGCTTCTCCCCGAATTGCCGGGCAGATTTGCTAAGATACAGCTCTACATCGATCTTTCAGCTGCTACGCTTCTCAAAAGGAAAACGCTAGCACCCATAACAACAGCCCTGCGAGACGCGGATATTCACTACAAGTGGGGATTTCCAGCACGGCTGATCATTCGTCGCAACGGAGTAGAAAAACATATCACCTCGATAGAAGAAGGCCAAAGAATGCTTAAAGAATGGAATATCCCTTTCAGAGTACCTTCGGACAACACTACGCTAAACCTGTCCCAGCGCTCCTCGACACAGGTCTCCAGAGACTGGAATACCAACTCCACAGCTAAATGACTTTGGCATCTAATACCCACTATGATATAATGCTCCACCCTAAACCCGATTCCACTGGCTGGTAACGTTATCAAAAGCTCTCCATGTACTGCCATAGCACATAACATGTACTTTCCTGTTTTACTATTCCCAGAGTCCTTAGGCTGTTTTACCGCCCATTTTGATTTCTTTCTCTTTATATACAATCGGGGGAATATAGTGAATCCCAGCAGCTTCATGACCCGGTATAGAGAAACACGACATGTCCTAACAACCATACACAGGCATCTGTGCCGAGACCCCACCGACGGGCCCTGTGGTGTCACATAAGTCCCCTGCAGGGCAATTCACTGACCCCCCACCATTAGGCCACTACTGGCCTCCTCACCGCCGTCTGTACGCTTTGGTACGGCTTCTGACGGCCCTCTGTATATAGTTATACCGTTTTTACTGTTTTTCTGTATTTACAAGTTTTCCCTGGTGTCACCTACCGCAATATTGACCCACCCACGGGACACACAATGCCCATACAAACTAGTGTGTACCACCTCACTCCCCTCTAGGGTACACACCTTTATGGTGCCTCACGTGCCTTGCAAGGCCCCATCTTTGCTTAACTGTCAAACATCCATAGCCCAACTCGGAGGTACTGACAAGATATATGACTTACAGACTGTCCTAGTAGCGAAAAACGAGATCAGACACAAACTATCTCGAATAGCAACCTCACCTAAACCTACTACATGACTCTCACAATCTTATCGTTAAACACCAAGGGTCTTAACACGC